AATTAAAGTTTGTGATTTAGCCTCTTTGAGAATTTTTCAGGCGGCACTAGGGAAAGCAGGAGCAATCAAACTCTCTCAGTCTCTTTTAAATATCTAGAAAAATTTTCTATGCCAACTCTTTCTTGGAATAGAGCTTCAGATGCTAAAATAAATTTCAGCTTTTCTTCTTTCTCCTACCCATGTGCCATGATTTAGTTGTTGACCACACCCATAGCTTATTTTAATTATCATTATAACTATGCAGTCAATAATAATTATTATTTTCAAATTGCTTAAAATATCACAGTACAAGTAATACATATCACTCAGGTGAATTCTAGCAGGCGAGTCCATTGCACCATAGTGCTTCATATTAACATAATGACTAGTACTGGTATTTTAGGAAAGGATCAGTCTACACAATATATGGATCCACCAAAAGGACCAGTTTATGTAGCTGTTAGAGACTGGAAGGCAAGGGAAAGTGATGAGCTTTCAATCAAGAAAGGAGAGAAACTTGAGATCAAGAAAGAGCGTACTGAAGGATGGTGGCTAGCAAGATCATTAGATACTGATCAAGAGGGACTTGTTCCTATTAATTATATTATAAAAGATGAAGAGAGTGAACTGTCAACATTGGAATTACTTGAACTATTTCATTATGCAATGACAGAAAATGTTGACATACCTAAAATCAAGGAAATTAAGACAAGCAGCAACATTGATGACGCTGAGAAAAGAAGTCTCCTTCTGTCATTAATTAAACAAGATTCAGTTCTGCTAGATCAACTTAGAAAAAAAGAACATGGTAAGATATATTTGTAGTATGCATAATAAATTTATACTTAAATTTTGCAATTTTGTCCATGCATGACTATAAGTTTAGAATGAATTTTTATAAAATCTAATGACAAATTACATCAGTTTTTGACACAAAAATAAGCCAAATTAATTTTTAAACACTACCTTAGTATTGTAAATGTGTTATAAACTTGACATTTTTGAGATAATGCACATTTTACAATTAGCTCCGAAATCAAAATAAAATTATTATGTTTCAGGATAAAAACTAGGAACTGGTTAAACAATGAAAATTGCAAATTTCTACATTTACAGTACATTTACAGTATTATGACCATGTTACCAAAAAGTACATGTACCTGTATACATGAGCGTATTTATGTGGACTTCTGATTGTAATGTGAATTGGCCTATATCAATAATTTGATAGAAGTAATTGTACTAGTTTAATTAATTTATTTAGAAAAACCTAAAGCAATTAGGTGGTATGATGATGGTGTTGAACTGACCTCTCCATCTTTTTTACAATGTCAAGAAGTAGCTTCTCTATTAACATACAAACATACATTTATTAAGATCATTAAATCGTCTCCTGAAGTTGTGAGTGATCTGTTGCCAGTTTTATTACAAAATGAAAAGGTGATAATAGAAGACACTCAACTAACACAGGACTGCATCTCATCCTTATGTAACTTACTGGCTAATAATAAATCATTATTAGAATTACATCTTACTAACTGTTCCATCGATGACAAAGCAGTTGCTGATATTACAAACGTACTACAAACACACAATAACACACTAAAAAAATTATACTTCTTTGATAATTCTCATATTAGTTCTGTTAGTGCTCAGTCTCTTTCTGAACTAATTATCAACAATTCAACATTAACTGAATTACAGATATCACACACTTCAATATCATCTAATGGAATATTGCTAATTCTTCAATCGTTAAAAAGTAATAAAAGTTTAAAGCTCTATCTAAATATGAAACACAACGACACATGCACAGAATACCATGACTATAATGCTATAAAAGATAGAGTAATATTTTATGAATAATAAATAAATAATAATAATTGTATTTTGCTTTTTATTGACGATGCTGACTCATCATGTTATATTATTTTGGTATTCATTCCTATTATTATTTTCCAATGTATTATGATTACAGTTATTTCTAGTATATTATTATTATTATTATTATTATTATTATTATTATTATTATTATTATTATTATTAATTATTATTATTATTATTGCATTGCTGTACATGCTTATTACTATTACTATATGCTTATTACTATGCTATTACTATGCTGTTACTATGCTATTACTATGCTATTACTATGCTATTACTATGCTCATTACAATGCTATTACTATGCTATTACTATGCTGTTACTATGCTATTACTATGCTTATTAGTTCATATTATGCTGATTCTGATTGTTATGTAATGTTGTGTTATTGTGATGTAATACTGTATGTATATAAGTGTGTGCTATTTTAATTTTTTCGAAGAGATTTTAGCCTTTTAAAAATAAGTCAATATTACAAATACGAAGGTCAAGCCCTCTCCATTCGGTCACTACAATAATAATGATAATAATAATTGCTTTCACCCATTTCAATAATAAATTATTATTGCAGTCAAAGACAATTAAAATAAAATAGAAGAGAATAGTACAACCAGCTTATTGGGCAAGCAGTACATGTGTCAGTTGTTATTAAAATAATAATAATAATAATAATAATAATAATAATAATAATAATAATCATTAATTTATTATCTTATTATAA